GGCCGACCACGAAGAGATGGTCACCGCTTTCTTTACACGTACTGATTGCGTTTGGCACCCTGTCTAGTAAGGACAGAGCAAAGATTTCCCAGCCTGCAGCATGTTAAACGCGGGCCGCGGGCAGTTGGCTGGCCGGACTGTGTCACAGCTGAGTGCCAGGGGAAAGGCAGCTTGAGCCGCGGCTGTGGCAGTGTGAGAAAGAGTCTCATTCCAGAAACTTCTGTCTTCTGATCCATACTGTAGAAGTTTCAAGGCTGAATTAGGCAAAGGATATCAAGGCATTGTGATGCATATTTAAAAGGTTTGGTTAAGCCATAAAAAAACCTAATAATGTGTCCATGAAAAGTGATTTTAATCTCAAATGGGATCTGATATTATTACTGAATACAGAGGCTAACGAATCTATTTTTATTTACTCTTTTAGGTGGAAATGGGCATGAAGAACCATGAAATAGTTCCTGCTAGCATAATTGCTTCGATTGCGAGCCTTAAACATGGTGGCTGTAATAAAATTCTAAGAGAGTTGGTGAAGCACAAACTTCTAGCTTATGAGCGAACTAAAAGTGAGTTTGAATTTTGTGTTGGGCACCCTCTCTCATTCTGTCCCCAATGCCTCACACTGGTACTTGCAAAGTACCACTTTCTTGGCACACGTGAGCATCCAGAGCACTTCTAGCCTTACCTTCTGTGAGATGTGCCCTGGGAGTATGGATTTGTGCAGCACCAGATGTTGTAGCTGTCCACTGAGCTTCTTGTGCCTATAAAGATGACAGGCAGAAAACAGACACACAGTTAACTTCCTTTTTGCTCAGTCATCAAAGTCATGGAAAATAAAAGAATCACCAGTTAAGGCAGTATTCAGATGCACACAGGAATCAGCCCAGATGAGTTAGTTTTTCAGTACACAAGCTGGAGGAGACAGCAAAAGCCCTGTACGTTTCACCGTCTCAGAAACAGCTACTAAAGTAGTTTTTATTGTCTGTTATGTGACAAGTAGTAGTTTTGCAGGCATTTCCACATTTCCTTCAGCCTTTTAGTTGCATCTAGCTTTGCAAACATACTGTAGGCATCTACAGGAAATTCCTATACTTTTTGTCTCAGTTCTTGAGAGGATTAAATGTTGCTGCAGATCATTACAACGATCCCAGATCCCTGCTATATCTCCTATATGTGTATCTTCCAAAATGCTCCTTGGGTTTTTCCAGGCTATTTAAATATTGCTGTTTCCTCTGTTAGAGAGGGGATAACAACACGTCTGTCTCTTGCCCATTTTTCAATTTTCATAAAACTTGCAGGAATTTAAATATCTCTACTGTTCTGTCAAATTGGGCTAATATTAAGCAACAGATGAAATATTACTTGGTGGTTGTTTACTGTAAGCTGAAACAAGAAACAGGACTAAACTGAGACTTCCTTTAAATGTACTGTATACATAATGAGAAATTAAATGTTTTGTATTTTATTCTTACCTAGCTGTCCAGGGTTATCGGTTAACTAATGCAGGATATGATTACCTTGCTTTGAAAACTCTGTCTTCCCGGCAAGTCATAAATTCTGTTGGAAACCAGATGGGTGTTGGCAAAGAATCAGGTAATTAAAAAAAAAATAAAATTTTTAGTATTATTTTTAAGCAAACACTGCTGTAATGTTGCAAATGTTTTGGTAGAAACTAGGTAAGTTTTCTTCTGGATTGTTAAATCAGTTGATCTTTCAAACACCAAGGCTTATGGGTCACTTACTGAAATGTTGTGTGAGGCTTCTGGCTGCATGTGCATATCTCTTCTCAAGTGTCGTTCTTCTCTGACCATTTTGTCTGATTCTTGGTTCAGTGCTTAAAAGGTACTTTGCAAACAGATGCTCTTTGTCTCATGCTTTGTGAAGAGCTTTGCAGCAATTTAGCAGAACCATAATTTCAGCTTTTTCATCCACTTAAGACAGTGAAGTAAAATAGGCTCAAAACTGTTGGAGTACTATCTTGATTCCTCTTACATTCATGAAGATTGTAATTTGACATGGCACATAACTTGTGTAATTGAAGAATGAGAAGGGAATTATTGGGGGCAAACAGTGGAAATGAAACATAGGCTATTTGTTAACACTCTTCAAATTCAAGAGCTGGTCCTTGGGTTGACTGCCCACTCAGTAGAAAGAAGGTGGCTCTCCAAAGTGTGATTAAAAACACTGGCATCTGCCCTAGCTTCCAGTAAAAGATAGCTTCTAGTTGTTATTTGATGTGTAGGTAGCCTGGGGATGTTAACCTGAATATAGCAACCTTAATATCTCATACTCTGAAAGATGTTTCAGATCTGTAATATATAATATGTAAATTTAGCTGACATTACTAACTGTAGTATACCTTTCCATGCCAGAAATAGTACTTATGAGAAGTGAAGTAACAAACTGACCACTGCATTAGATGCTAGCTGGTTAGATAACATTTATTTCTTAGATCTATGACCTTATGTGTCTTCTAGATATTTATATTGTTGCAAATGAAGAGGAGCAACAGTTTGCATTGAAATTACATAGGCTTGGCAGAACTTCCTTTCGCAGTCTGAAAAATAAACGTGACTACCACAAGCACAGACATAAAATGTCATGGCTGTATTTGTCCCGGCTAGCAGCAACGAAGGAGTTTGCCTATATGAAGGTAGGTGACGATTCTGGAAATATTGACAATGGATAGTGTGTAAGATACTTTTCAGACTCTCTTTTGATCAGTTCCTATTTGCAGTATTAGTAGGATTTCCTTCCCCCCCCCCCCAATGGACTTTAAGTGTACTTCACAGAGAATTTCAGTGCTATATATTTTTGTGTATTTTCCAATGACTAAATGAAGCTTTGCTGTGGAAGTCATGTGAAACAGAAGGATGTGTCATGAGAGAATTTCAAAATACCTTTGTTTATGGATTGATAATTTATAGATTGCAAGTTCTGCTGTTTGTCCTTTAAAATTTATTGTGTAAGATTACAAAAACACTTTAAGTAAGGAAATTTACAGTTCCTTGTCAGAAATATTTTTTTTTTGTTTCATTTAGCTGTTTTTTTAAAATTAATTTCTCTGTTTTTTAATGCACCATGTTTTCAGTTGTTGCTGTGCTATTGAGGGAAAGCTTTCAATCCAGACTGGTGTTCTGATCTGAAAAAGCACACTTTGTTCTATAGTGTGGGAATCTATTTAATTTCCAAACATATATTACTACTCCTAGAGTTCCAGATTTTTGACCTGCTTTAAAAATAAATGCATATGTTATATAGTGATTGAAAGTTGGTAGTGGAGAACTAATCATATTAATTATTATAATTATAAAAAGCTAGTTTTCCCTTCTATTTTTTTTTTTTTTTTAATTCAACAGTACTATGTACATTAAACGTCATTTTCTTGTTATCTTGAACCTTGATAGGTTCTACCAGAACTCTCCACAGAGAGGGAAAGAAAGATTACCATCGGGTAGAATCTCTATATTGATCCAGTTGATCCAACTGGTAAAGCATTATGTGGTCAGGACTTGCAGGCATATAATCATGGGGATCAATTTTCCTGAAAAGAGAGTTCAGAAGGGATTAATTGTGTGCTGAAAAGTGATAATAGTATAACATTTAAGTAATAAAAGCTGTATTTATGCTGCTTTCACTTAGAACTCTTGTCTTAGAAAAATTCATTGTTAACAAGAGAATGAGTAAAAAAGAGAATGAACCCCTCAAAGAAGTGAATCCAGCGATGTCTAAATTTGCATTAGAAAAGGCAAACAGGAGAGCTTCAGAATACAATGACCTACCTTTGGTTTATCTTTAATGGGTGTAATGGTGATTATTAACATTTAAGAATGAACTTTTGTCTTAGAGCAACTCAGTATAGATTAACTAGTCAGGCAGAACTGTATTGGCAGCAACTTAGTGTGGATGTTTTATTAATGCCTGACACCCCATTCACAGTTATCTGCTATTGATTACTTGGGCTTACAGACCACATATGATTCTGTCATTTTTCCATTCTGTTGTGTTTTTCTTCCAGATACACGATAATTAAACCACAGACAATATAGCAGTGCATTTAGTATCTAAATTTAGGAATTTTATTTGTCTTTGCAGTGAAAGTTCAAACAGCTGTTATGCTATCTTACTTCTTCAGTAAGTGATCTGATGTTTCCAGCTAGCATTTGAGTAATGTGTGCTGATTCCTCCGTAATATTAGTTGCTTATCTTAGATGGGAGTTTGTCAATCTTTTCTTAACAGATTAATTTTAATTTTTCAACATGTTGTCTCTTTCCAGGCTTTGCATGACAGAAAATTTCCTGTTCCAAAACCTGTAGACTACAACAGACATGCAGTTGTTATGGAACTTATTGATGGCTATCCTTTGTAAGTACCAGAGATTAAATTCTCTGTGTTACAGAAACCCTGACAGTGTTAGACTCAGTAAAGTATAAGGGTTTGGGGTTTTCTTTTTCATATGGGTGAATGCTGACTTCACGGTGCTGAATAATACTCTCTAGCCTACACTCACTAGCATTCTACTTACTTACAGTCTTGCTTCTCTTATCTCTTTATTCTGAGATTTTTTTTTTTTCTTACTCCAACACAACTGTTGAAATAGACTAAATTTTAAGTAAGGATACATCAAAAGAGCAGTGTGACACAAGTTACTACTGCAGCTGTTTTCTACACAGGAGTTGCATATTCTGTATGTTACTGGATATATACAATATAGAATACACTATCCTTCACATTGTGAGTTCCAGTTTGTGATCCTTGCTCTGGTAATTTAGGTTAGATAATAACTCACTGTTTTAGAACTTCTGTTTACATAGAATATCATGTATAATCTGGTTTTGCTTCGTCAGGGAAGATTAATTTGCTTGAGTTGTTCAACATGTAGAAACATTAAATATCACTGAAGTTTGTACATGAAGGGGTGGTTTGTTTTATTAGCAGAGCAGAATGCAGAAGGCCTGGATACTCAAGATAATGTAGAATGACCTAGGTGCTTATCCAGGGATGTGAAGTGTCTAGCTCTTGAACAAACCAGTCCATGCTCTTCTGGAGTAATCAGGATCTCAAGTGGACAGTTTAATCAAAAGGGAATTAATCCCAAAGTATAACAGTTGAAGAATAACATGGAAGAGGCTTCATTATATTCTGACTCCCCACCTTCATTTTGTTATATTAATCCACATCCATCATGTACACTGAGCACTTCAAGTTCCATGTGGACGTCTGCAGTGGAGTCATTGATTCACAGAGTGGTAGGGGTTGGAAGGGACCTCTAGGGATCATCTAGTCCAACCCCCCTCCCAGAGCAGGATCACCTAGGGTAATAGAATAGAAACCATAGAATGGTTTGGGTTG